ACCACCACCACCACCACCACCACCACCACCACCACCACCACCACCACCATCTTCACTAGATACGAAATCCATGGTTGTGCACACGCATTAATTCAGCAGTGCTGTAGCTACGCTCAGTACATCCGCGCGTGTGTTCCTGCATGTGCATCCACGCCTGAATACTTTTTCCCATTGTTACATTGTTTTCCAGTTACTAAAGTCGCTTTTTGCCTCAAGCGAGGTGCAGGCGCGAGAGAAATTGGGTTTTAAGCTGCCCGGCAACGCTGGCTGACTCGCCAGTTGTGTGGGTGTGTGCGTGTATGTCCAACTAGTTTTGCGTAAGGAACGAATTTCGAGCTAGTTGTTCCACCAGTTCCTCGGCAGACTTGAAACACCCTTAAATGCCAATCGAAGAGGCCCCGAAGTGCTACATTTGAGGCATCTAAGATTACGTGTAGTTTCGTACTTGTGTTTCCACCTCAAGACCTCATCGTGCTCATCTAAAACTTCTTGTTGTTGAGTTGGATCGATCGATAAACACCCTAAAGTCGAGTGTGCAAGACTCAATCAACCGCGAATATAATCTCTGCGCGTTCCTACCGGCAGTCCTCATTCACCAGAGATGAGAAAGACTGGCTTTGGAGTATTCATAGCGTGCATTTTTGCATTTTAATCTGATTTTGCTTAGTCAGAGAGTGTGTTGTGGCCGTGGCTGCGACGATTCAGACGCTGTGTCACCACCGGGCGCAGGAAATTTTCCCGGGAATCCGTGCGTGCACGTTTTTTGTGTGGAATGGACGGGAAAGCCTTGGCAGCACATGAATTTACGGGGCAATTTTTTTGCAAATTTCCCAGTTTTTGTGCCACGAGAGTTGAAAAGGGAGAGAGAGAGAATAGCGCTCAACACATGGGCTCTAATCCCAGTTTGTTGTCTTCTCATAGCCACTTGACCGGTTTTTCCATCGCTGACGACAGATTTCGCCTAATCAGATTAACTTTCATGATAGTAAATGGGTGGAGCTGGATGCTAACGCAAATTAATCCTTGTCAAGATAATTAGAAGTTAGGCAGGCATGAGAACGCCTTTGCAGCGACCTTGGAAATATCTCGTCAGCCAATGAGATAGAGGGTGCACTCCAAGTGAGGGCGCGCGGTGGATACGAAGTGGTGTTCATGGCAGCGTTAAAAACTAGAAACCACTTGGCGGTTAACCAATCAGCACGGACCTACTGCTCGCCCTTTGGTCCTACTACCAATTTACGTGTTTGTTCATTTTACAGCTAAGTGTATCCTTGCTCGATTTCAGCTAGATCAGAGGGTGCGATAATCCAAGGTCCACAGAATGTGACTGCGACCGTCGAGTTGGGTCGCGATGCCTCGTTCTCCTGTGAAATTAGCGAGGAGGAACATCGGTCAGCAACTATACGCGTAAGTCTCAAGAGAGCAAATTATCCATCCTATCCAAGGCCTCACTAGATACTTTGTCTTAAATGGCTTTCTTTTCACGCGTTTTTGGAATGCTTTAGTGGGGCAAGTACATCTCCCTGGACGAAACCACCACCGACTTTCGAACTAGTGAAGTGCTCCACTGGTCTGGTGGAACGTACGTCGTGTTGCCGACTATTCTCGCCCAGGACCTTCAACAATTCTTCGACATCCCCAAACCACTCGCTGTGAGCAATCCTGGATCTCGTCGTAGCCGTCTTGTCCTGCGATCGGCCTCGCCACGTGACGCCGGTCTCTACATCTGCTCAGTCATCACTGAATCTGGCAGAGATGACCACAAATTCGTCCATGTTTCCATAAAGGGTGCGTTTTCTGTCTTGCAGTCAGTCAAAGTACAAGAATATATCCAAATAGCCAATCAACGAGAGACCCAACTTTAACGCCTTATGTCTGCGATTTTGATTGGCTAATACATGGATGGAATGTTGACGTGGTTGATAACACGATTTTAACAGCGAAAACATCCCAAAGGGAAGAAGCGTTATAGCTTGGTGTGCCTTACCTGGATAATTTGTCATTTTTTTTAGATGGTGATAAGATTATCGAGGGTCTGAGAGACGCCGAAGAGGCAACTTCGCGACACCTAACCATCTACATAGCCGTGCCTATATGCGTATTCTTAATCTGCATTTGCGCGGTTGCCTCGTTAGTCATTCGCAATCGTAGCCGTCAAAGTCGCCAGCGCAACCAACGCAACGGGCACAAGTCCTACTTCATTAGCCACGGCATTGGTACGAGCGCAGGAAGTCGCAAACTCAGCCTCAACTCCTCTCACCGCTTCCTCGATCAGAGTTCTCTCACTGGAAGTGCTTCGATGGCCTTCACACGAAGCGGGAGTCCCCCACGACAGGGTCGATCGTCTGCCTCATCGAAGATCGCTCCTACTCCCCACGTTCCAATGCGACCGTCGCCCATGAACAGCACCACCAACACCAGCGCTAGTCAAATCTACCCCCCACAATTCTCTCCAGGTCACCTGCAGTCACCGTCGTACACCGAATGCGCCTACTTCTCAGCTGACGGAGCCCCGATTGGCGCGCCTTACGCATCGCCTCCGATTTCAGCGTACGCGCCACCACCACCGCCACCAGCCTACTTGAATGGACAGGTCTCTGGCGTCGACTACCAACGGTACCCACCAATGAAGGGCGTGCCACATCCGGCCTACCCACGATCGGGCGAATCCAGTGCTTACACCACTGACCTTGGTTTCGACCAATCAGGGAACCCCTTCGTCGTTGGTCCTGGAGCCCAATACGACCCTACGGTTAAACAGGAAGCTCCCAACAGACGGATTCTGTGTGTGAGTCCGTCCAGTGGCCAGGAGACGCCTGGTCACCTGTGACGAGGCGATTTGAAGTCTACAACAACTTCCAACTATGAACGGGGACACAGTGTACTGCCCTTTTTTGTTCTTTGTTACATTGCATGTGACATTCGTCACTCCTCCCCCCCTCTCTCCCTCCCTCTCTGCTGTGCGTGTGTGTGTACTCCCAGTTTCCTTCAAAGCCTCCCGAGACCTTGTGATCTTCCAATGCATTTTCCAACGGCTGCCTTATCGACACCGATCACACCCACCAACACACACACACAGGCACGATCTTCGGTTTTACTGTGATTATAGAGGTTGCGTCTACAGGGTAAGCATCGTCACCTGACACCATCACACCAAATGTACATAACGCGCACCAACATGCCTACACAACTATCTCATTATCGACTCGACAACACCTCCATGCCTGCGACACCGCTTATGTATACAACATAAACCAGACATACGAACACCAGCGCAATTTTAGAGTCCGACTTTCGAGTTAACTTGCAACGTTAATTTTCTCTTAAGTAAATTATTAAAGACAGATATGCAAGTAAATCACATGTGTGTGTGATTTCCACTTTAGAAGGTGCGATCCAGAACACAGGGATTTGCGAATTGTTGGTGCCAGATGGTGCATCTTTGTTGAAATAGCAGGATTTTTGACCTCGACATCTCATGAGCCATCATTGCTTGAATCGTGGTTCCAGTAGCATCATTGTTTGTTCAGTGGATGCGTCTCCACATTCAAGACTGCCACGAATGTTAGCACGACTTTCTGCAACTCTGGCCCCCGTTCTATTCAACTTCCACAACTATGTCCACGAACCACTGAGCGGCGACCATGAACAATCACTTTAGTAAAAAAACGGTTTCGTAGTGACATTTTGAAGTAGGGGCAAAAAGGAGGTAGCTCTAGTGGGACATCTTTGATTTCCTTGCCCCGTTTTGTGAATACTTTATCAAAAACAACAGATACTATCATCAATCCAGACTAATCTAGCGTTGTTTTCCCATTAAAAACGCCGCCTTAATGAGGGGTTTCTCATTGAAAACATCTGATTTTAGGTGCAGGAAAGAGAAGTGACTGCAGCACGGTCGGCGCATCCCGCTAAAGCCCATTATTCAGCAGTTAATTAGGCCAGTTTTTGCTTCTAGTATTATTTTTGGGCTAATTTCAATATAGCAGAACCTGTTTAGCAAAGTTTTAACAAAAAGTCATAGGTAGTCGCCTACAGAAAAGATTCTTGTAGAAACTTTCCCCGCAGTCATTGATTTATTTAAAAATTAGCTTTTTTGTGTGTGAAAATAGGTGCTCCACGAGGTGGTACAAGGAATTATTCAAATATCCGCTAAATCGACCGCGCAGATTAAAACATACCCTGATTCGAATTATCAAGGCGAAATTAAGTGGTTTGGTATTTTGGAGAGGTCACCTTGTCAAACGACGTGGCAATTCCGTGAGGTGAGGTGGCATTTCCATAGGGGGAGGGGGGGTTTCCTGTTGGTGTAACGATAAAATAGTCCACTAGCGCAGATGAACACCACCAAAGGAAGAGTGCAAGGTCAGATCTGGGTGTGCAAACGCCATAAACTTGTCTATTCAAGGTTTAAAAACCAACTGCTGTATATCCTAAACGACCTGACTTGTACGTGTCTTTCGTGGATCCAGCTTCAACGCAACCTCGAAAATGACGTTACAGGAGCTGTTGTGCACGTAATAGATGTCTTATTCCACTTGGCAGTCTCCAAGCTGAGATTGGTCGATGATGTTCACGAGGAAATGTGCAGAACTGTAGGTTCAAAATAAAGAATGATCAGTGTGTTGGACCTGGTTACATTATGGCAATTACAACGGAAGTCTCCAATATAATTTGAAGCTTTGTGAACTGTTGGAACCTACCGAAAGAAGCTCCACAGATTACTGGCTGATCCAAAAATTTTCAAGTCGATGATCTGCTTCGAAATGGTGTGAAATGACGATATAAACTTCATCTTCAAGTGCACACTTGTTCAAGAAGTACTGGCGGTTAGTACATAGACCAATCTCATTGGTTTCTTGCCCCAGAAGGTACAGTAATTAGCTCCACACATCCGAGAAAATCAGATATGAATATACATCTGTGGGATATCGAGCATTTTGTAATTGCCTTCAGTCTTTGATAATTCCTGTGAATCCACATCTAAGCCTACCCTTCCATCATTTGGTGTGGTGCGATAGTCACCCCTTCCTGTCTCCTTTAATTAGGAAACGCGCATCCACTCTGAATCTGCGACCAGGAACCACGGTAATGACCAGCTGGCTGGGAACAGGGCCGGTACGGTGACAGCGCTCGACTAAAACGCACTTCATCAGGCACTTGAAATAGCTACTATACGCCATGGTTGGAAGCGAAAATGCCAGCAGTTTTCTGAGGGTACCGATTCGTGAAACGGACGAAACGGGGACTTTGACAGTTTTTGACAAGTTGACAGTGAGAGCCACGTTTGGCATGATCTCACAACCGGCGTGGGTCTGGGTAAATTGAATTTATCGAATCGAACGCTTTCACTCGTAAATTTTCGCTGTCTGCCACGCCAGAACCCATATCATTGACGTCCAGCCAATCACATTTAAGAACCCCAAGGTAACCGGGGGACAGTGCTAGAAAATTCTGATGCCCATCATCCTAAACACCCAATCTACGACCAACCAGTTTGAGGAAATTGTAGCCACTCGGATTAAAACCCGTGATGCCTCCAACGTGCCACCTGTGACATTATGAAAAGACAGGCGAATGTGCATAAAGAAGGCGAAAATTGGACCCCGTTTCTGGTTTCATTTTCCTGGTCAGAAACAACGAACAGGAACAAGAAGGGAAGCTTGTTTTTTCCTTGCTGGTGATTAGGTTGGGTGTGCACGTGTAAACGCAGCCAATTTTAAAACACTCACTGCCTCGGCAACCACGGTACATGGAAATGTTGACGATTAAAAATTACAGATGTTGCTCCTTACTAAAAAGGAGCTAACTGGGTGCCAGAGGGCTGTTAGAATTTCTGTGAACCTGGCGACGTTTCTCTCTTACCAGGGGCGTTGAGTCAGGGGCTTTTCGATTAAAAAACAAGTAACTATTTGCTCTGTGGTCTCGTCAGGTAGGCGAGAGGTGCTCTCAAGACAGTGTTCCCTCAAAATAATGCCAGATTGTTTTATTCCCTGCTACCGTTACTGGCCCTGAGATATTGTCGCGTTGATTTTGCCCGGAAAAGCCACGCGGAGACCCGACCAATCAACTTGTGGTGTCGCACCGCTGGACATAAAAGTGGTGTCTGACTAAAGGGGGTTGGTGATCAGTACAGTCTGAGCAAGCCTATGAAAGTGCAGAAGGCTGCATGTACAGATGAATGAAACTGGTAGCAAGGGGGGGGAACAAGTCCACAGGGGGCGTGAGCAGACGGGTCCCGCGTCATCGGTAGGGCCGCTGTGAAAAGGGGAGTGCAGCGAGTCTGAGCATGGAATGACTGGGTTGATGGACGTGATTCAACAGGAATCGCCACACTCCACAAGGGTGTCTAGACCTGTCCATTATGGCGGTTATCGTATACGGAACTGCAAAACTTTCGGTAAATCTTACCCTGGTAACTCCTTAAGTCCCATAACAATCAATAATTTTGGTGATCGAAGTTAGATAATCAAATAAACGCATGAAGAAGTTTGGTACATTATTGATCTGGCCACTCATGAGTAGCGTTTTTCGATAGCTCGGAAATTGGTGGATCGATTGTTTGCCTCCGCCTTCTGATTGGTCAGTCACGCCCATTGTGGTCAGCGAATTTGAATGATTTACCTCCCAAACGCATTCCCAAGATTTGGAGTGGTGATATAAAGTGATCTACGACACTAAATGCACATTTTATCTATTCAACCATGTGTTTTCGTTACTTCAGTCTTATTGGCTGATGTACACCTCTATATCCACTTTAAAAGCGGATTATCCAAATGTGCCAGTGAGTTGGCGTTCGAAGTGTCCTAATGTCAATAATTATCTACACTCTAACAGGACTGCTACTTTATTTTCAACAAACTCAAATACCAAAATTATTGACAGAGTGTGTAAAGGTACACTTGGCAGTTTACCTTTATAACCAGAATGTGGTACTCAAGGGCTAAATAGTTTTTCTGTGTTTAAATGTTTGTTGAGTTGGTGTAGGTAGTGGTGACAGCTGTGTCACCACGACGAAACGAATTAAGATGTTTCAGACAGATGGAAGATTTCTCCACAACCCACGCACTTTTCAAGAAGTTCAGGTAGCCAATCTGTTGTCTCCTCCATCAACCAATCAGATTCGAATGGGGTACAGTTACTCTAACTGTTCTTCTGAGAACCATTCTTCAAATGAGAGAAATCAAGTCATGCAGCTTTAGCCTATCTGTGTTTATTTCATGTGACACTTATGACTACTCGCTGCCTCTAGTTGGTTGCTGATCATCTTCAGGATCAAAAGCACTTGGAAAGAGGCGATTGGTTGAGATCCATGTCTTTAATATGGCCGCCGACAAAGCTTGCACGAAACAAATATGGCTGCGCCTTTGGCCAATCAATCAACCAGTCAAATATGCGGAATGACAAAACCGATGCAATAATAACATTCAAATGAAATCATTTAACTTATTTTCAATGTGCCACTTAGGATAATCATACGACTAGAGGATTCGCTCCAGTTAGAAATAAATTGAGCAGATGTAATATACAGAGGCATTGAAACGGCAAAAACAATTTGAATTGCCCAGTTAAAGATTGCGTGCGGAGACGGTTAATTTAAACTACAAATAATCCGATTGCACACACATTTCCTAATGTCGGTGTCACACTGCATGTATGTACAAATTGTCGAAAATGATTCGAACATAGCTAAAATCTTATAAATTTTAAGCAATGACAAGAAATAAGACGTGTGTAATACTGGATTTATCATTTGTTTTAATTTTGATTTTCATTAAGCGCCACATACAATTGGCTTAGTAAGCGAACCAAGTCCAGGTACTTCTAGTTTGGTGAGCAATTGCGGTCTGTTTTTTGCTGCATGCTTTCACTGTATACTGTTTGTTTTTGAGGATAACATGTATACTTGTTATACTTTCAGTGTATTTTTTCTTAATTGTGGGACACATAATTTTACAAAATTATCACAGACTATGAACGCACTCAAATACGAATTCGAAAAATACTACTTTACCTGTAAGACCGGTTATTCAATGTCAACGTTAGCAGTTGAAGATCTCAACTCAATTCTGGTTTTTAGTGTAGAATAGACAACAGCACAACTTGTCCGGCATGTCATCTACAGGTTTGCAAACAATAGGCGCTAGGTGATTCTTCGATGCGGGCACAGGTCTTAAATTTTCAAAGGAAATTTCGCAAAAATGTTTTAGACAAAACTTGACGTCTTTGACGAAATGCTCTTTAAGGATTACTGTACTAGAAAATAATAAAAATTTGCTACGCTATTAAGCACAAGTCGAGGATTTCGGAAATGCGGCCTACTCAAACTGCTGACTTAGGATTTAGAGTTATAAAGGGTTGGACAAAGAAGCGGTATCTGAACTCTAAAAATAAAGTCACCAATTATACTCGTAGCGACCCAGCAGTTAAGCGAAGGCAATCATAACCCAGAAACGTCAGAAGACGAGTAGGTAGACGACAGTTTAAAGAAACAAACAACACTTTGGGGTTACTGCGGCAGTGATTTAAACAAAAATTGTCGAAAGATGTTATGATCCTACATAAAGAACTAAGTAAATAAAAACCCATGACATGCAACTCATCGATCATTTTGGGAGAGTCCTGTTAATATCGAGAGGGATTTTGAGGTTATTCTGGAAAATTGGTGCAACCCTAAATATTGCAGTGGCCTGAATTTTCTTTAGCATAAGACCAAGAAAAGGAAGAGAAAATGAAATGTTGGAGTGGTCAAGCGATTATCTTCCCACTCCTACCATACTCTCCTCGGCTTAGTGTAAAATGACCAGGAAAGTGCAAAATTTGTCATATTATTCTTGATTAATCCGATGTTTCATTTCAGATGCTCATCGTGGGCCACATAAATACGGCTCACTGAATAATTGAAGTCCGTTTACTTCTATTGTGCTTAGCAACTGCACGTGGAATATTTACTGTGTTTGTGGGCATACAATGTGCTGTATGAATTATACATTCATTTTTCTTCCCATTTATCCGGTTGAGCTACCCAGTTCTGAGCAAATAGAGTCATTCCCACTTGTAATTTTTAAGGGTCAGAATGTGTAACTGACCAGTATGTTCATAGGGAGAAATTTGAAAAACCTTGGCGTTCTGTTAGTTTAATGCGACTAGGTATTTCGTGAAAAGAATTTAAAAAAATTACTTTGATATTAATGGAAAAAATTTGGCCAAACTTTTGGTTGCATAAAGGAATATTATACACAATATTAGGTTTGCTGTCTTGACTACATGAAGATTCAATTCATTTACCTAAATTAAAAACAACAAAGGATTTTTATAAATGGATGAAAGTAGTTCATTTCTGCATGGATTAAGAACCAAAGGTAATTTAGTATTAGTATATGTTTATTATTTAATAGGAGTTTACTCATGTCATTCTAGACGAGACATCTTCACGAATGTATCTTCAGTCAAAGGTAATGAGAAAATTCCAATTACTATAATCATAGAAATGATTTAAGAACATATTCAAAACCTCAACGGGGTTAAAGTCGTTGGTAAGCTGATATACAAGTGAAAGTAGCCATCACATAAACATCAGAGAAAGCCCTAAATTCGCAAGTAAATTGGCGTATGGAAAAATTATACCATATCTTTTAAACAAGGATGTACGGCTGATGCACAATTAAAAAACCCCGATGTCATTACCGAGCTTAACTGCACATCATTTAAAAAAATATGTAAATCCTATAACGTTAGTGTTGAGTGCATGATGACAACATTTACTCAATTAAAAAGCACAAAATCAATACGACGATGATCTAGCCATCTCGATTTTTATTGAACAATAGCTTTTTAGATATCAAATTTGCAACGATCATTAGTAGCAGATTCGAAATAAATTCTTGATATGGTTTATACGGAATGTGTTTCTGTTTGAATTAACCAAAGCTTATCCATAGTTCATGGGATGTTGATAGTCCTGTTATTTGAATTTTGTTCAGCTGCTTCATTTGTAGGTAAGATGTTGTTACTACATACGTAAAACGCATTTTTAGGAAAGGTTCCGTCTTTTCTAACGAAACGTAATGGCTCCTGGTTGCCTACTGGGTCGTCCTTGATGAAAGAAGGAGAAATTTTGGATATACAGTGCCAAATAAAAAATAATACACTGCTTGGTCATGACTTACTTGAACTAAAAAGACAATCGTTTGAAGACAAGAACGTGCTTTTGAACATTACTAGCGCAAACGCTTCTAGGCTCTTCTACTCCATCAATGTTACACTTGATAAATCTGGTTTATATTTTTGCTACTTCCGTGGACAAGCGTCAGACATGGTTCTTAGAGTTGTTTCCAGTGAGTTTTCTGTTTCTGTACGTGCGTCTTTAAATTTTAGGGCACAGGTGTCACACATCGCTGTTGTTACTTTGAAACCACATTACATTTTTGGCCTCAGATTTATCATTAACCGGAACGTTAAGGACTTATAATTTCTAATCGCATTCTTAAATCTTTTGTTTGCATTTTTGGGTAACAACTCCTGCAAAATACTATGTTGGGGGCAAAATGTCGACCTTCAATATGTACACAAATCCGTTTGCTAATTTAAAGAGTCATAAGTATTAGCTCTTGTTAGCATAATTGGAATGTACTGTTTTTGAACTATTTCTTGAAGGTAATACTATTTTGTTGGTTCCAATGCCGCAGGAACGCTTCATCTTCTATTCTGTCAAAGAATGTTGAGTACCGCGGCTCCAAAAATATCAGATAAAACCCAGTGCCCATGGACGCTTAATTTTTAAAAGCTATATAGGGTTTCCAGTGATCTTTATTCCTCGTTGTACAATCGTTGTAGCAAATATCGTCCCCTGTGTAGCCATGCTTAACGATCTTATTCCCACGATGTTTTAGAAGTTCGCTTACGAAATGGCACTGCGCCGTCAGTATTTTCTCCGTACGAGCTTTACACCAAAATTCTTCCCCTGAGGACTCTCGCACCAGAGACCAACGTGGATGAAAGTTTCATGATTTGTGAAAGTCGATTTGATGAATCAGTCCACCTCGGCATGGTTTCGGTGTCGTGGAATAGCCCTCAAACCACGGATGTTGGACGCTCAGGAGATTACTTCGTGGAGGTTTGGCGAGACGAGGTGCTTCACCGTGTCGGATCTAAGCTGGGGCTTCGATCTCCAAGTGCGGTTGAGTCATTTCTGCAGCCCATTCTCTATCACCCAACCAATTGATCTTAGCCAATGCGCTTGTTTTTTTTTAAATAATAGGCTACAATCAAAGCGCCTATGGAAGGTATACATGCATATTCGAATATAAGGGCGCTGGACTCGTGAAATGGGATGTTTATCTTAACGGTAATTCCTTACTCCAGCCTTAAATTATGGAGGTGTGTATACAGACCAGGGAGTGTTTAATTTTCATTGGCTGCTTTCGTTCAGTGGCACCTATCCTGACATTGTCGTCGGTACCGCCTCCACCACCCCTACTGGCATCTGCTTTGACTGATCCCCGATGCACCCAAAGACCCGAATTTCATGACCTGGTACAACGCTGGCGACAGGCGTGCCGCGTGGTGCTGGCGTACCCCCCTGTCGCACCGTCCAATCACTTTTGGAATTGGAGCAACGCGGAGAACGCCGTCGCTGTGATTAGGAACACTGCGAAGCGTGAAAGCGCGAACCAACCGGTAGACCAATCGGACGTCAGTAGTCTGGGCGACTGTCCAGGGCTGGTTGTGCGACAGAACGCTAGCGTGCCGGTCATTGGACCCACCGTCTTCTGGTGCTATGCCGAAAACGAGATCGGCCCCTCTGGGATCTGGTGGCCACACGCTCACGACTCCTCTGGAAGTATGTCGTGTTGGAACATTGAATTCATCATCTTCTAAGCAAATTAATTCGATGATTTCCTCCATCTCTTGTAGTCCTCTCATCGATGTTGTGGTGGTTGGGATTTCTAGCGGTGCAGATTATGTGCGGAGTGGCATTGATGGCCTGGTGGTTTCGCCTTCGTCGTCGTCGCATCTACCGGCTAACACTTCAGGAGGGGCGCGTGTTAGACGCCATGGACGCGCGCAGTCTGGTGGTAGTGGGTCCAGACGACGCCGGCGAGCACCTTCAAAGGAACCGGAAACCGCCCAAGGACTTCCTTGAGATGCAATCCACGGCACTTCAGCCGTCAGTGGGATAATCTCATCTGGCGACAGAGATGCCCCTGATAAGGATGATGTCTGTGTCGTTTTAGGAGTCCATCAAGTGAATCGCCTTCAAGATGTGCTGGGGCGTGCGTTTCAGTTGTCGTTGTGCCCCTGCAAACGGACGCTGTTTAAAAATAGCTACTAATGTGTTTGTCAGCATGAATGTTTTTTTCTAAACTTGAGGATTGTTGTGCATGTGTTGCTTATCCTTGCATTTGTAAAATTCACCTCTGCGTACCGTACTTTTTACAGTGAATCCTCAGCCTGTACATTGTCTTGTTTGAATACGTCATTTTAAGCCATTAACGTGACCAATGGCTGTGTCGAGATCGTGTTTGTGGTGAGTTCGCCACTTCATCCCACCGCCATGAGACACAAGGAAACCCAAAAGAGATTTTGCGATGATAAATGATGGCTTGGAGTTTGTTGTATTGAACTAATGTTAGCGTCCGTCAACATTACCAGCTGTGTCGAACATAAGGGCAAACATCAAATCAACGGGACACGCGCAATAAACATTTTGCTGCAGTGGCGTAAATTCAAAGTGTGCGACCGACATCTTCCACTCCTATTGGTCAGTTCGAAAAAGCGTGCTCTTTAAACCGTCGACCAATAGGAGAATTACATATCAACAAAACGTTCACAACGGTTTAATTTGTTGCCTAAATAGCGTACACCAACGTTTTGTTTCTCAATTATTCAGTATTACGTCAAAAATTCACTTCTAAGATTGTTTGAAACAACTCTTGTCACCAACTGCGCGATTTCACTCACTTGTCTTTGAGTGGAAAGCAGCCACTAAGGTGATCAAACGACTAGGTTTTGTGTTCGCGCTAAGATTGCCCTGTTGAAAGACGCTTCATTAAAACAAACGCTCAGAACTATGTTCATTTGCGAATCGATTGACTGTTGCGGGCTCAGTGGATTCCACGAACAATATCGTCCATGGACAGATGGAAGAGGCGTGGAGGTTCAAAAGAAGGATTTGCCAGCCTGTTTTAATCAGTACACAGAGTAAACTCGAAGCCCTGTTGAATGTTAGAAGTAGTCTAATCGTGGAGGTAAGAAATGATACTGGAAGAAGTACCGAATCCCCCTGGTGCAGTCAGGAATTCTGAAGTTGGAGGTCGCTTCCAGAAAATCCGGTACAGGTTGACGAGGTCGAGTTGCGGGGTGGCGTAAGTACAATAGTGGTGGCCATGTGCATGAGTATACATCGTTTTATCAGGTTGATAGCTAATTTGCGTAAGAATTTCGCATTCACGGTCGAGCTTCTTCCGGGTTTTTCTGATCGCGACTCGCGCGAAACTCGTGTCGGTCGTTGTTTTAAACCAACACCGGCGATCCTCGCCTAGCGCAGCTCAGCTGAATTGTGAATTTCAGACCGTGTTTGTTTCTCCTGGGTGTGTTTGGTGTTTCGACGACCTGATTAATTTACACCCGACGGGGTAGATGAGCGTGGGGAGTGTGTGTGTGTGCGAAGGTATTGTCAATGGAGATTAATTGCTCGCCAAACAGGCCGAGTGAAGTGAGTGGACTGGAATGCGACGAGATGAGGAAGGCGGATAAGCATTCGCCGACGAAACATTCACACACACACACACACACACCAACAGAAAATAACACCGGTAATTGAGAACAACGACGATGCAAAACAGCGATAATGGCGTTTTTCCATGCATTTCTGCAGGCGTGTTTAAGTGAACAGCGACATGGCGTGTTTGGGGAGTATGACTGACGGCCATCGGGATTTCATAATGCATCCCGAAACGGTCGCAACTCCACAGTGGCGATTACTGCATTAAATTATCTTCCTGCACAACGCGAGTGATGGCTGCATGTTGATGCAAGTTCTTAGACTCCAGTTCACGACGTCTGATCTGCGTGGTGTTGCCTGATTGTTTTCAGATCTTCCCACGAACCTGTTGATTCGGAGGGGTTCACGAGACAGGCCATCGTGTCGCCAATCAA